GCAGTAAAGAAAACTATAATCTAGTTAAACCCAAAGTTTTCACATGTACTTGACAAAGAAGTTCTTTCTTCACATAATATGTATAACCATCTCTTTAAATCAGCATTCTGCAAAAAACACTTGGGAAAAATGAATCTATCGAAATTCCTCTTCCAAGTTGAGCATGTAATGTTTTGACAAGTCTTCTTTTTCTGCCAACTCAACTCCCTGCTGTGGATGTGCTGTGAAATGTCAAGGCTGACAATAAAGTTCTTCTGACACTTAAGCATTAAACCTAAGTTTTTCTTCGGCTTTTTTCATAACAGCACAACATTTTTTCTATTTCTCTCCATCCTACAGTCACAGGTAATCTTTCCTGAAACTCCTGTTCACAGTATTTCTTAGTTCCCCTTATAGAGCAGATCATATCTTCTGTACCATTCAATGGCTTCCCAAGTTTTGTTAACTTGGAAATTCAATGGCTTAAAGTTTGTTAACTCTGCTTTAAAGCTTATTGACACTTAATTTGTCATGTGCTTACATCTCCATAATCACATTATAAGTTATTTAGTGTCTGGAACTGTGCACTGCACTTTCCTCTGTCCCTAAAGGAGCATGACAGTGCATTGCTCATTCATTCATTCAACAAAGATGCACTGAGCATCTTCCACGTGCCAGGCACTGTTCTAAGTGCTAGAGTATAGCAGTAAACATGACAATCAAGGCCATTAGTTATCCAGTGGAAATCTATTTGTATGGGGAAAGACAGATAAGTAAATATTCAAGTAGGTACAAACTCATGTCAGATATGGTAAGTGGTACGAAGCAGTAAGTGCACGTGAACAAGGAAAGAAGGAGAGGCTGCTTTGGCTTGCAAAGGCCTCTCTGAAGAGGAAATATTTAAGCTTAAATGTGAATAAAAGGAAAGAGCAATGAGCATGCTGGAAAGATGGGCCGGGACACTGGCTGAGTTTGCTAAGTTAGAGGAAAAGCAGGAAGGCCAGTGTGACTGTGGCAAACATGGTAAGTCAGAGGAGCAAGGTGAGATCAACTCAGAGTGGGTGGTATGTGCCACACCGTGGTAGGAATTTGGACCTTATTTTAAGATGATACAGAAGCCACAGAATATTTTAGACATAGGATTGAACTAAGCATGATTTTATAACTTTAAAAGATAACTATGACTACAGGGTAGAAAATGAAACGTAAGGAGCCAAGGGAGGAGTCAGGGAGGCCAGACAAAGATTATTTTAGTAGGCAAGGCAAGATATGATGGTGATTTGGACACGGTGATGGCAGGAGAGCAAAGGAAGTGGGCAGATCCTGGATATACTTTGGTATGCAAAACAGTGGGACTTGCCAGCTTGAGCAAACAGGTGGACAGGAATATTTCCTAGATGCAGATATTTACTAAATGCAGATATTTCCTATGTAAAGGTTATCTGGGAGACTAATAAGCCTGGGAGAAAAAGTAGGGGACAGAATCAAAAGTTCTTTTTCACTCATTAAGGTTGGAAGTTTATAAGATATATAGGAATATATGTCAATTTTAACCTATTTTGAGATCATGGGAAATATATATGTATATATACATGTATATATATATATATATATATATAGCCCCGCCCATATATATGTGTGTGTGTGTGTGTGTGTGTATGTGTGTGTGTGTGTGTGTGTGCCTGTGTGTGTGCGAGTATGTGTGTGTGTATAGGCATGATATATATATAGGCATGAATCTAGGAATACCTGTCAATTTAACCTGATTACTTGATGTCAAGAGTTTGAAACTAGCCTGGGCAACATACAAAAGATTTAAAAATTATATATATATATGGGCATGATGGTGCTAGCCTGTGATTTCAGCACTTTGGGAGGCTGAGGCAGGAAGATGGCTTGAGTCTAGGAGTTGAGACCATCCTGGACAACATAGCAAAACCCCATCTCCACAAAAAATGCAAAATATTAGCTGGGCCTGGTGGTGCATGCCTGTAGTTCCAGCTACTTGGGAGGCTGAGGCAGAAGGATCACTTGAGCCCAGGAGGCTGAGGCTGCAGTGAGCCATGACTGCAACACTGTACTCCAGCCTGGGTGACAGAGTGAGATCCTGACTCAAATAAATAAATCCATGAAATCATCTAAGGAGAGAATGTAACCCAAAGGTACCTCAAAATTTGGAAGTATAGGCTGAGAAAGAAAGCCAAAATGGTAAACAGGAGAACATGGTGTCAAGAAGTCCAAGAGAAGCCAGCATGAAGGAGTGGTCAGCTGGGTCAAATTCCAAAGATTTAGATGTGGGCAGAAAAGGAACCATTGGATTGGCCAACATGGAGGCAGCAAAAGCAGGGCCAGAAGAGTGGTAAGGACTGAAGACAGTAAGAGTGCACTGAAGGAAGAGTCAGAGAAATGGGGCCATACTAATGGGGACACAAAGTCAAGACAGGGCTTCCCTACACCCCCAGAAGGGAGATCCTGGAGTTAGAGTCAGGGGAGGTTATTGGCATAGAAAAGAGAAGGGCTAATTGAACATATACATAATGAAGTACTAATTGAACACATATATCTTTGTTTATTGTCATTTTTTTTTTGATACAGGGTCTTGCTCTGTCACCTAGGCTGGAGTGCAATCATAGCTCACTGCCACTTCTAACTCTTAGGCTCAAGTAATCCTTCCATATCAGCCTCCCAAGTAGCTAGGACAGCAGGCATGCACCACTGCGCCTGTCTAATTTTTAAATTTTTTGTATGTTGCCTGGATAGTTTCAAATTCTTGACCTCAAGTGATCCTCCCACCTGTGCTGGGATTACAGGTGTGAGCCATGGTGCCCAGCCTAATTAGTGCCAAATTTTAGATATATTTGATTTAAATTAGGCTGAATGGGGGTTGTTTTCCAAATCCCCAGGACTTAAAACTGGGTGGTAATAATAATAACAATATTAGTTTAACACATATTTAGTGATTACGTGCTGGGCATTGCTTTGTGGAATTTACATATACATTAACTCCTTCATTCTCCCAAATAACAGTAACTGCCCTCATTTTACACTTGAGGAAACTGAGACACAGGAAGGTTAAATGATTTGCTAGTGTCATGTAGACAGTAAGTGATAGAAGTAGGATTCTCACTCAAATAATCTGACTCTGAACTCTTAACTACCAGGAGAAAGTTGTAGGAGGTTTCATAGCCGCTGGCACTTCCTCAGTTCAGGACATGTTTTATGAATCACCTCCTGTCAGTTACCACCTCTTTTCCCAAGGGTGTAAGGTTACATAAAAGGATGAAAGGGTATTGTTTTTCAGTCCTTTCTCTGGTCAGGACAGTCTTACAAGCTGGTCAAACCAATTAGATGTGTGCAGCAATTCTTTCACACCAGTTCCTTTTAGGATTTTTATAAATATCTACTACACATTAAAATATATTTTGACAACCACATTTTTCCCACAAAAATTTTTCTTCTATATTGTTTTAATGCTATATAGTATTTATAGCATTTATACCTTATTTTAACACTATACAGTATTTAATTATTGGAGTGTTCCACAATTTACTTAACCCTTCAAATATGTATATGCGTACACTTATGTGTTTATAGACGAAATCCATGTTCCTGGCAGAAAAATCTGAAAATATAGCTTAGGAGAAAAAATTCCTTCATCATTTAATAAATATTTACTGAGTGTCTATTTTGTGTCATGCAAACTTACGAATCATGCTTTCAAATACCATTTAAAAGCATGAAGAAAATGGAAAAGAAAAACTCAAGATACAAAATATACAGAAGGTATGTGACAAAATTAGTAAAACACAAATCTCACACATGACGAGAGAGAGAAGGAGAGAGATGAAGAGACTCCAGAAGTAAGTTTACCAAATGTGGGCAGTAGTTATTACTTCCATGTGGTAGGATTAGGGTGATTTTTATTTTCTTCTGGTTGCCTTTTCCCCCCTTGCTTTTCTATAATGAACATATATTACTTGAATGCTCAGAAAGTTATTTCAATATTAAATATTTCTACATATTATGCTGAGAGCACATGCATTACTAGACATTTGATTTGCTGCTAGAGTAGAATCTATGAAGGTAGTAAGGCATGCAGTATATGTGGACATTTTTATTGTTTCCATTACTCAATAATAATGGCCCAAATGATTCCACTGCCAGAAGCATTGTTTAAAGATGTGTGTGTGTGGCACTACATAATCATCCATGCTTACTTGTGTGTGTGTATATATATACATATATATATATATGAAACAAATGATGGAAACTAACATGATGCTTTACTTCTTGTCACTAGATCTACCTAGCACAGAAACAAATGGAAAAAGAGATCAAAGACACATTTTCAAAGAAGAAAAAATATCCCTGAAAATTCAGATACTTTCTTCTGTCTCTTTGTTAAAGCTACCCTTTAAGATGTCTCCTTTCTTTCCTTTTTAACTTTTTATTATGTAAAATCTCAAACATACTAAAAAAAACATATAACTGAGTATTCAAAAATATGTATAAGAAACCCCATGTTTCTATTACCCGATTTCAATAATTATCAACAGTATTAAGAACTTTCTTTCCAACTGCTTATCTTGCACCAGGAAGAAATATAAACTTATGTACAGAAAAACTATCTTTATAGAAAGCAATTTTAACATTAAATTAAAAAAAATTGATTTTAAAAGCCTCTTCATGTAACTTTGAAAATTCTTCCCCAAAGAGTTTCTGAGAGCTGCTGATGCAGTTACTACCTTTCCTATGCATTTACTCTTCCTCCATAATAGCTATTTCAATGTGTTATTATACCTGGAAAATGGAAGAAGCAAAATAAAGAACGCAGCAAGCTGGGAAGTTTGAAGTCATCAGACAGAACTTGGGGAAACAGTGAGCACTCCCCTAGGGAAAGTGTGGCTAGGAAGGCAGCCTCGGTATGAGCTGGCCCCCAGGCTGGGGAGGCTACTCTCATTTAGAGAGATCATAGGCAAGTCCAGGGGAGTGCCATAAAACTGCCACCTGGTTATACCTACCTAAACTGTTGTCGCTGCTCGTGGGCCAGGAAGCAATTCTATCCCTCAGCTTCTTTGTACACGAGTTGTCTGACTTTGCAGAAAGATGTACTTCCTCCTTTCTAATTTCTCGAATGAGCTGCATGCGGCATCTTGTGAAATCCTGAAAGGAAATCTTCCCATTTTCACCTGCTCCCAATTGGTTCATGATCTCAGCCACAGACTCTTCCATATTCAATTGGCGACACACCATTAGCAAGTCATTTCTGCAGAAGGGGTTGAACAGAAGAAAACGTGTTATGAGAGACAATTAAGCTAGAGAAACTAGTTAATAAAAGAAAAAGATATGTCTTAAATATGCTCACACACACTAGACCTATTTTCAACTTTCTCACTGCTTCTAGAAAAGTGGTAAGTGTATGAAAAAACATGTTTCATCTGGGTTATTCTAAACAAAAACTCTATTATTTGGAATCGTGAGGCAACTTTTAATCCTTTGTTCTCTTTTTCTTCCTGTCTCCACACCCTTCTCACCCTTTCTTTGTTTTGAAATTGAAGATTATAAAGCTCTTTCTTTAAACCTGAAGAGTGTAGCACTGTACTCTCACTGTAAGATATAGTTTCAGAACACAAAATAGACATTATTTCTACTCTTGGCAGAGTCCAAAATCTAGTCAAGTTATAAAAGAATCAACAGAGATTTTAACAAGCTTGATTTTCAGCTTTCTGGACCAATCAGCTAACTTTAGTAATTGTGTAAAATGTAATTTAATCTTGACTTTTGTGGTTCAGTGCTCAGCTGCCTTTGGTTTTTTCTGCTTTACCTTGAATATTTTCCATCTTCCCACCAGCAATCAATAAGCCCTAATACTAAGAGAAGTCATCAAAATCTCAATGTCTTCCAGGACTAGATTTAATGTGTGAAGTGGGTAGATCTAAGATAAGAGGGTTTAGTGGGGTCTGTGGTTGGACTAGAGAAGTATATCCAGCCTATAGGGTCTCAAATTTTAAAAAAGAAGAATAAAAAAGAATTTCAAAAGGAATAACAAGAACAATAACCCTGTGCCAACCAAGAACATTTATATGGGAGACATCGGTTTGATCCCTGACATACAGTCTTGCTCTTTTCTCTCTATCTAAGCTTCTTTAGCAAATATTTTGTTCATATTGCTCCAGCTGCAGTTCTCAACAAAGGTCAAAGGACTATAGAATTTAAGTGGTAGAAGAGACATGAAAAATTTGTTCATGGTCACAAACAAAGCTAATTAGTGTTCCTGTCTCAACATACCACCAAAGTTCAGTTACCTGGAGAACAAAACCAATTTGATGTTTGCTGATACCTGAAACCTAACCATGCTAAGACCACTCTTCAAGTTACCCTTCACATATTCTCTCCTGGTCAGTGTTACAAATGATCTCTCTCAAGTTCCCTAGGCTCACAGAATTGTGGGCATTTTTAATATCTTCTCATTCACTCCACCTTTCCCCTAATTCTGTGACCTGCACTCCCCTCCCCCACCTCTGCCCTTGTCCCTTTCCCCAAGTTTCCAAGGTCCAAGTTATCATCAAATTTTGGTTAGTCTTGTCCCTGAAATGCCTTTATACTTGCTCTTTATGGTGTTTTTCAATAAATGTAACAGATTCCAAGACCTTTTAATTTATGCCAGGCCTATACCGCTAGCCTTTTTAGCTTATCACCCTGCTTCCATATGCTATCCCATTTTCATGTTTTATAAAGAATTTTTACACATAACTACATGTTTTATCCTCTGTGTACATGTGTCTTTGTGTCCATATGTATATTTTATATCTATATATATGCCTGTGCATCTGTGTATACACACACACACCCCTGTATTTGTAAAGTAGATGGATGAGTATCAGAATAAATACCTACATGGAAGTGGGTATGGCAGGTTAAATTATTATTAGTCCTAATCTTGCATTATCCCATAGTAGTGTTTTACACGTATACCCTTGCCTTGTTCTCAGGGCCAAGGACATTCATGGTAGGTGTATCCTTTCCTATCCCTTAACTTCAGGCTTCATATCTAACTTGCTTTGGCCCCTGGGATATTACTGAACAAGTGCCTATACTGTTGAGCTTGTCCCCTTTGGCTTCAGTCACCATTATGAGAAAAACATACCATAGTAGCCATTACCCCTATATCTAGCCTGGGTCCCCAGATAAGCCACTCCATTCTACCTGAAGACTCATAGCTTAAGAAAAGTCATTCCAGCTGACCCCAAAATGTGTGAACAAGATTAAGTTCTTATTGTTTATGCAAATTAAAGTTCATTCTTAAGCTCAGATTTTGTGATTTTTCTCCCATCAGTAGCTAATCAATACACTGGGAAAATATTTGTTTGGTTTTTAAAGTAAGGCTCTCATATGCTTATATATTTTGCCCTTCTTTGTATACAACCTGCCTGATATTCAGGCAGATTCATCCAAGAGTTAGGGGTGATTAGAATTGCTAAAGCAGGAATACAAACAGAAAGGACCCAGCTTTTACTCTGAGTTCAGAGTTCAGCCTAACTTTCTAAGATAAGAATTTATTTTTTAGATATTTAGGCAATAGTCTTAAAATTAGGCTTAGCAAGAAATAAGGAGGTTTTCTAAATTCCAGAAGTTCATGTAATATTAACATTGATATTCTCTGATTGGTAAGAATATGGTATATTCATTTTTCCTGTCTGTATGTTGTCCTTTTTCACAGTGTATTAGACTACTTTCATAAATTGATATGTCATTGTAGGTTTTAAAATGGCATATTAGTAGTATCTACCTCATAGGGTTGCTCTGAAGATAAATGAGATAATACATAGAAAACATTTAACATAGTTCCTGGCACATATTAAGTACTCAATACACAGTAGCCATTATTATGATTGTTTTATAATTGTTGATCATAGACCTTTTATAACACCCCAGTTTCATGATTAGGGCTTTAATAAAGAATCATGATCTGCTCAGTGGAAAAGAATACTGAATGGAACTGACTGCCTCACTAAGTGGTACAACCTGTCCACAGAGGCCCACCCTTCCTTCCTGCTGGAGGCCCACTTACATACACTTGGGCACCCTGGTGAGAAACTCAGCTCTGTTCAGGCTCGAGAAGCCCCATTCTACAAGAAACAGCTGCAAAGAAGTAATTGTGGTCTAGAAATGTCAACTCAGAGTAGAATATGTAACATTGAAACTGAATTTAATTTTAAACGTGTAGGCTGTTGAGAGGCTGATATAAAAGATCAAAACCAAAATACACTGCACTCTATCAAATTCAGTCAAAGTGTAAGCTTTAAATAGAAGTACTCACTTTTAAAAACTAAATTCAAGCTAAATTCTTTCAGTATAGAAATACAAAATTAACAATAATAAGTAACAAGCTCGCAGGGGAATTACAGTTATTCCCTGACATGGTTTGGATGTTCATCCTCTCCAAATCCCATGTTGAAATGTTATCCACAATGTTGGAGGTGGGGCCTGGTAGGAAGTGTTTGGGTCATGGGGGTGGATCCCTCATGAACGGTTTAGCACCATCCCCTTGGTGATGAGTGAGTTGTCTCCCTGTTAGTTCACACAAGAGCTGGTGGTTTAAAGAAGCCCGACATGTCCTCCCCCACCTTGGTCCCTCTCTCACTATGTTACATGCTGGTTCCCCTTTGCCTTCCGCTATGATTGGAAGCTTCCTGAGGCCTTCACGAGAAGCAGGTGCCAACACCACACTTCCTATACAGCCAGCAGAACAGTGAGCCAAAATAAACCTTTTCTTCACTACAAATTACCCAGCCTCAGGTATTTCCTGACAGCCACAGAAGAATGGACTAACACATGCCCATTTTACAGATTATGATATGACAGCTGAAAGAGTCACAGAGACAATATAGGGCAGAACCTGGGATCCAAACCAAATCAGTCTGATTCTAGAGCTCTTGCCCTTTCCATGCTATCATCTAGCATCGTGGACATCAATAACAGGTACATTTTGACATGAGATGAGCAGCTTGATTATCAAAGGTCACGAATTAACAATGCTTTTATATCAAACCAGAAAGATCACATTCATCTAGATATGTGTTATCCTTCTATGTTAGATACGAATGAGAATATAAAGTTACATTTTGTTATCAATAAGATAAGAAAACAAAGTTACAGGAGAAGAATAAAATTATAAAAGCTCTCCTTTATATCAAGAACTAATTCTAGAGAACTTGAATCACAGGGTATTCTATAAGCCACCTTGCCAGGTTGTTACAAATGGCCTACAATGACGTACAGTCCCCTGTGACTATGCCTCTTTACAGCATGCCTTTACCGTTCCTCCGATCAATAAATGGAGGCCATTTACCTGCCCTTGAATCTGGGCTGGTCTTGAGACTGGATTTGACCAACAGAATGTGGTAGAAATAAAATTCTAGGATTCTGAAAACACAGGCCTAAAGATGCCTTCTAGCTTCCAATTTCAGCTCAGTGCAATCCACTTCCATGCAGCCCTGGCAGCCTGCTCAGGCTCATGGTGGTCTCTTCCTTCTGATAACATTTAGTACCTGCATCAGCCATTAGGTGATAATTTCTAGTTTTGTGACAGATTTTGGACTATACTTAACTTTTATTTCTTCCTCTCGCTCTCTTTTTAAACATTATTTTCACATATTCAACCTTTATCTTACCAATATGACCATCAGCTCCTGGCAGCCAGTGTTGGTGCTACATCAATCCCCTTTGAGATGTGCGCAGCACCCAGCACACCACCCCGTGCACAGCAGACCCCATCACATTTGTTTTGATGGATTCATACATAAACTCTCGGAAGTTGACAATGACCTTTCTTTTAAAGGGGGTCCCCACTTTGGATATTTTTCCACATATACCTGTCTTTGTACTTTCCCACAGAATGCAGCACACAGGATGCTTAGCAAGTATGAATGACCAATGGCCTCCATAAAATACTAATAACCCTGTAGGCTTAGTGAAAGACAGCAGGACATTTATCTGCTGGAAGCAAGGAAAGCTTCACAGAGGAAAAGATAATAAATTGAGACTGTCCAAAACTAAGATAGTACAGCAGAGAACTATCTCAGTAGCAATAACATCATGTAAGTGTCCTGCCCTTAAAAAAATAAAACTTTTGTATATTAGTTCAGAAAACACACATTCATTGTAGAAAATGTAGACAAGCAGAAAGAAAATACAGATTACACGCAATCTCTTTACCCAGCAATAATCACAGCATCTGGTGAATTACATAAAATTGTACTGAAC